AGGCATGATATACATTTTCAGCTTCTGTTTCTCCTCTGTTCCCTCTTCTATGGGCCTGGAAACTCGAGTCTCTGAAATTAATCAGATTTCAATTCTAGTTTCAGTGTGGGTAGACTAGGCTACACGGAACTGTTGTATCACTTTTCTTTTTCTAGATTGAATCTTAGGTCAGTGGATTTGAGAATCATACACAACTTTTAATAATTTACAACATTTTATATACTCATCCAAAATTTTGCATAGTGGTTCTCTAGTGTAACAGAACACACCCAAAGACACTCTCTGTTTGAAACAAGGGATTCATTAGAATGCCTTAGGGCTGCAGTCCTGCTAATCCCACAAAGGCTAGCTGTGAAGGGAGAGTCCAAGTATCCAGTACTTACTCAGTCCAGGACGTTAGATGTGCCGACTGGTCTTCAATCTATGCTGGAATTGGGATGAAGATTCTCTAATGCCAGTGAGGGAATGGTTTTGCTGCACTGGAGGGCAAGCAGGCAATGAGCAACAGCTTCCTCCATGGTTTTTTATAGGGTCCTAGGAGGCAGAAGGCGTGGCCCAGCTGCAGGTGTGTCCTCCAGAATCTTGATATGGATTAAAGGTGTGTCCTTCAGGTCTTGAGATAAATGCTTATGTTTTTCTGCCTCCAAAGTGTGTTTGTGAAGTGCTGTACGTACTTCAACTTAAGCAAAGACATTTCTCACAGTCGTTCCCTCTGATTTAGGATTACAGTTTATTCCAGGTATATTCAGGTTCTTTACTTAGAGTTGTGAAATGTGTTTTCATTCCTGGTGCATCTACATTTTTTGTCATCTGCCTAGAGAAGGCTGTTGCAGTCTCCCATCATCTTTAATCTTTGGACAATGTGGCGCCAAGATACCCTATAGGATTTCCTACCCAACAACCATAATCTTCTTGCCTTTATAGTAGACACTCAATTCAAATTTCTGATGGTGATCTTGATCCATCAGCCCTCCTAACACTGTTATTTCCTTCTCAGCCTGTTGTATTAAGGACATCAGAAGTTCAAAATGGCTTCGGAGGGGTCTGAGCTTCCTTTCAGTGGGGCATTTGTTGTGCTCCAGAGAGAGGCAAGGCCCCCACACCAACATTCACCCTGGAACCAAAACTTCCAGACCAGAAGGACCTAAGGTCATGGGAATGGGAAGCAAAGTTTTTCCCCAGGAGTCGCTAGGGGAGATAGTGAGAGGAGCTATTCCCTTTTCTACCTCTTAATGCCTGGACCAATGGACATGGGCTAAGGAGAAAGCTGCCTCCTGCAGAATACTGACCCAGCACTAGAGGCTGATGGTACTTCTTTAATCTTTCCTTGTGTCTTGAAATGTCCAGTCCATCTTTCTGTTCAGACAGCGGTTTCGGGAAGTTGGTGAACACGGGAATATCAACTGAACATATCACAATGAGTTACAATAAGCATAGGCACAAGCTCTCATATCAAGGCTGGGGGAGTCAGCCAGAAGGAAGAAAAGGTTCCCAAGATCAGACAAACAGGTCAGAGACTCCCCACAGTCCCACTCTTTAGGAGTCCCACAAAAACCCCCGAACTAAACAACCACAGTGTGCATACAGAGGACATAGTGCTGACCCATGCATCTGTGTGTTTGCCTCTTCAGTCCCTGTGAACCCTTATTATCCCCATCTGATTCTGTGAAACTTTTACTGCCATCAGCCGCTGGAGAAAGGCTAACTGATGACAGCTGGGCTAGGTACAAGTCTCTGAGTACAGCAATTTCTTAGGTATCGTTTATTAACATTTGTGTGTGTGCGACTGTGAGGACCCTGCACAAACTTCCGCAGCTGAGCAGGACTGGATTCCTTCTAACAGAAACACCACCGGAATCTACAAAGTGATTCTACAGTTTTTATTCCTTTTCTATTGTATTGTATTGTATTGGGGTAAAATTTTGTCTATGTAACTGAACAAGGGTCCTCTGCAAGAGGAACAATTGCTTTTGCCCACTGAGTCACCTCTCCAGTCCCCACAAACTGAGTTTGGAGGAAAAATGTCCTCATTCTCTTCCCCTTGTCTCATGAGAAAACATTCACGTTTGTTTTCTCCTTTGCTCTGAGCCCTTGATCATATGTTCTACACAGTCCTATCCAGACAGGTGTCTCCAAAGAAACCCTGTTGGGATGTGCTGTGGGCTTTAGCTAAACTGAATCCCAGTTTCAAAATCAATGGACAAAAAATCGAACCAGTAGAGCAACGGAGGAGTGTTTGCATAGGGTCCATCAGAGTTCATCATGGTTCCTCCCCTACCCTGCCATTCTGTAGCACCAAAAATAAAAACCTAAAGATAGCTATTGGGGTTCAAACCACAACCAAAAAAGCAAAGCAGACAAGCCACTAGAAACATCTTTCCTGTATTAAGGATGGGTGACTGTAGAAGAAGCAGATTCTTAAGCCTCTCTCATCCCATTTTATATTATTACCTCTAGTGCTGGGATTTCCTAGGCTAGGATGGAAGGTGTGAACCACCACCACCTGGACTTGTTACCGCATTGATCTTGTTTAGATTAAGGTGCCTTTAAACCCACAGAGATCCATGTTACTCTGTCTAACACATCCTGGGATTAAAGGTGTGTGTCATCATTGTCTGATCTCCAGTGGCTTTAGCTTTACTTCTGGTCTTCAGGCAAGGTTTATTTATCAAAATACAAATAATACACCACTACAATGTTCAAGGCATTAATAAATGTATCAAAGCACAACTAAACCGTGATATCATTCCCCAGAGTTGCTGTAATTGCTCCATGTACCCCATAGTCTACCCAGGAGTCATCGGTATCAACACTGACCACTGCTTCTGGGATACACATAGAGGGTACCAGTGACAGGTTGCTGGGATTACTTCAGACGTTTGAGAGGGGGTTCCAGTAGATTGCATTGAGCAGAAGCCAGGGAGCTGTATGCTTCAGCCACCAAGTGGGGGCATGAATCCACCATTAACTTCCAGCTTGCGGTCTGAGAGACCTCGGAAGCATGAGCTGTAATAAAATTCAGCACCTGTGTTTTCAGTTGCGCTGTGCTGTGGAGGTCAGCCAGGAAGAGAGTGTGGGCAGCATTCTCCACAGAGAGGTCCCTGCAGAGGGCACTCTCGCACATGACCTTCAAACGCTCCAGGCCATACTTGTCAGCAGCTGCCAGCACAGCATCTGCCATGCTGTGGAGGACTGGTTCCTTCCCGGTGTAAATGAAGTCCATCATTGCCTTGAAGACTTCAGGTTTCAGGTCACGAATCTCAATGCGATTCTTTCTGCTCTCCTCCGTGTCATGTTCAAACATGGCTCTGAAAACTGGAGAGCGAGCAGCTAAGATGGCCTTGTGAGCCCGGAATTCCTGGCCAGCTACCACCAGGCAGCAGTCTGTGAAGCTCGAATTCTTCCACAGCTCTCCTAGATCATCTCCTAATATGCATTTGGGAACCCGGATTCTCAGTTCCGTGCTGTCATCAGGGATACTGTAGGAGTATGGGGCCAGGATCCCCATGCAGTAGAGGGTGAAGTGTTCTTCAGGGAGAAGGCAGCGAGAATGGTCCAAGAGAAAATCTCGAAGGACGAACAATTTGTAACCCCTTTGGTAGCCTGGCAGGAAACTTAAGTCTTCCAGGCTAGTCACAGGTTCATATTTTTCTCCTTTGGCGTTTATGATCCAAAACTTGATCTCTGCCTGAATGGGACTCTTTGGAGAGCTGAGCAACTCTATGTTAACTGACAGGTAATCTGAGCTTGCTTCATCGACCCCCTTAGGGTGAAGTCTCAAACACCATTTGTTATTGTCTCCTGTTGAGAATGTTGGGCTTCTAATACTGTCCCTCCTTTCCTCCAGAATAAAACGGAAGTTGCGGATGGTCCACCTGCAGGAGAAATTCTGCATGTTCAACAGTTTATAGTCCCAGCTCTGGTCAGCGGCGTCCTGTGACATTTCTCCTGGAGGTAGTTTCAAGGTTAAACCGGGTCCAAAATGAAAAAAACTAGGATTTGTCTTCTCTTGCCCTGTAGGATACAATAATAGGCATGATATACATTTTTAGCTTCTGTTTCTCCTCTGTTCCCTCTTCTATGAGCCCGGAAACTCGAGTCTCTGAAATTATCCAGATTTCAATTCTAGTTTCAGTGTGGGTAAACTAGGCTACATGGGACTGTTGTATCACTTCGTTTTTTTCTAGATTGAATCTTAGGTCAGTGGATTCCTAATTTTGAGAATCATACACTACTTTTGATAATTTACAACATTTTATATACTCATCCAAAATTTTGCACAGTGGTTCTCTAGAGTAACAGAACATACCCAAGGACTCTCTGTATGAACAAAGGAGATTCATTAGAATGCCTTAGGGCTGCAGTCCTGCTAATCCCACAAAGGCTACCTGTGAAGGGAGAGTCCAAGGATCCAGTACTTACTCAGTCCAGGAGATTAGACGTGCCGACTGGTCCTCAATCTATGCTGGAATTATAAAAAAGAATTCTCTAATGCCAGTGAGGGAATGGTCTTGCTGCAAGGTGAGGACAAGCAGGCAATAAGCAACAGCTTCCTCCATGTTTCTTTTATAGGCTCCCAGGAGGCAGAAGGCGTGGCCCAGCCAGAGGTGTGTCCTTCAGACTCTAGATATGGATTAAAGGTGTGTTCTTCAGGTCTTGAGATAAATGCTTATGTTTTTGGGCCTCCAAAGTGTGTCTGTGAAGTGCTGTGCCTACTTCAACTTAAGCAAAGACATTTCTCACAGTCGCGCCCTCTGTTTTAGGATTATAGTTAATTCCAGGTATAGTCAGGTCGGGACCCAAGAACAATAATCTCAAGAGAATTTGCTTGCTGAGGTCAATCTTCCATTAATAAGGGAATGGTGTTTATTCCTACACAGCTGGTATTGCGCTTCTCATGTTGTTGTAAGAATTCCTCCCCTTCCCCTTCTCCCCCTTCAGGCCCCTGCGGAGTTTTTCCTTTTCAGACAGAATCTTCTAGTCGTCCTGGCTATTTTCCCTGCACAGCTGCCCCTGCCGCTGCTGGGCTTGCTTCCCCGGCCCCTGCCCGCAGTCCCGTCCCCAACCCCGCCCAAGATGTCCGAGGATCTAGCAAAACAGTTGGCTAGCTACAAAGCCCAACTCCAGCAAGTAGAAGCTGCTCTGTCTGGAAACGGAGAAAATGAAGATCTGTTGAAATTGAAGAAGGACTTGCAAGAAGTTATAGAATTGACCAAAGACCTTCTGTCAACTCAGCCTTCGGAACCTCTTGCAAGTTCAGACAGTTTTGCTTCTGCTCAGCCTACTCATTCATGGAAAGTAGGGGACAAATGTATGGCAATCTGGAGTGAAGACGGACAGTGTTATGAAGCGGAGATCGAGGAGATAGATGAAGAAAATGGCACCGCTGCAATCACCTTTGCTGGTTATGGCAATGCTGACGTGACTCCGTTGTTGAACCTCAAACCCGTAGAAGAAGGAAGGAAGGCAAAAGAGGACAGTGGCAACAAACCTATGTCAAAAAAAGAAATGATTGCCCAGCAACGTGAATATAAAAAGAAAAAAGCTTTGAAAAAAGCACAGAGAATAAAAGAACTTGAGCAGGAAAGAGAGGACCAGAAGGTGAAATGGCAGCAGTTCAACAACAGGGCTTATTCTAAAAACAAAAAAGGCCAGGTAAAGAGGAGGATTTTTGCTTCTCCAGAAAGTGTAACGGGCAAAGTTGGAGTAGGAACTTGTGGAATTGCTGACAAGCCTATGACTCAGTATCAAGACACATCTAAATACAATGTCAGGCATTTGATGCCTCAATAATGAGAAAAACTGTTGGATTTCATCTCTGCAGGGCTTTACAGTAATTTACCTTTTTATTCTTATATTTTTCTAAAGGTAAATTATTTGCTAGATGAGTAAGGAAGATACATTGTTGTCATTGTTTGGCTTTGGTAGAATGAAACTTGAAGACATTTGATAACTGCTCTCATTTAACTTTTCATTACTACTTACCACAGTTCCCTCAGAGTTTGTTGAATAAGGCAACTTTTCTAGGTAGATGCTGCTTAAATCAGCACTTAGATGACTCAGTGTACTTCAGGCCCCTACTTAACTAATGTTGAGTAGACATTTTGTAAGTCCTAATTTGGAGTTTTCGGGTGCTTTGCACTTGATGTATCCCAGCAGTTCATTGGAACATCATGGCAAAATGCCAGCCTGCTAAAGATATCTTCAGTTTGATGATAACCTGGCCATTGTCCAGACAAACCCGAGCATGGGTTAATTTATAAATGACAGGGTTTAGTTTGAGGTTTTTCCTTGAATTCTTTCCTGGGCCTGTTAGGTCACTTCCACAATTGACTCACCTTGTAGTTTTTGGTCATTGAGTTTGAATTTTATATTAAAAAACAAACCATGTGTAGGATGTGCTCCCCTTCTCTCGTGTTTATTTGGTGTTTTGAATTGTTTTTTTCTTTGTTGATTTTTCACTTGTGGTAGTGCTTCCATTTTGGGGGAATGTGTAATGTTTATATGGGAAAACAAAAAGCTGATGTATAGCTCTGTATACAATGTAGATACTATTTTTGTAAAAAAAAAAAAAACCAAGGCTAAATCAATGAAGCAGAGTACTGAATGTTTCATGATTGAATTTTCCTGTATTTCTTGTGCATTAATCTGACCATAATTTCCCTGTATATTATGTTCATGTAGCTGAGTTTGTAATTTTTATTAACTAGATCAAGTTGCCAGCATTTGTTGGTATAAGTGAGCACCACAGTTACCCCAAGTTGAGTTTAAGCCAGAAACACAGATAGAAAAAGGGTCTTCCTGTTACTGGAAGAAGACAATTTTTAGGGTGTGTGTTAATTTCAGTTTTGTATGTTTAACTTTAATAAATAAAGTGTTTTTAAATCTCAAAAAAAAAAAGAATTCCTCCCATACACACGATCTGGGAAGAGATGCTTTACTTACCCTGTCAGTGTTCACAGCATGAAGGTCAGGGTGGAAGAATTCATCTAAGGAGGCAGGAGTAGAGCCAGACAGGATTCTCTGAAAGTGGCTGTTTTCCTTCCTGCTTTTTATTCCGTTCACACTCACAGTCCCTGGGACGGCTCCACTAAATTTATTGATGGTCTTTCTGGTCCTCTTCAGTTAATCCTCCTTATACTCTCTTCCTGATCCACTTAATGGTGTACCATGAGAAAATTCTAATTACTTCTCATTTAAATCAAGCAGACGGACGAGATTCAGGGTCTCATTACCTCATAATTTTCCTCCTCAGTGGTGAGTTCTGTTCATTAAACTGTGAACTCCCATGCTTACCATGCTGGACCTTAAATGGGAGAGAGTATTCTGGTTTCTAAAGGGTACAGAATATTTTCAACAGGTACTGAAGAAGGGACTTAGACATGCTTCCCCGTTCCCTTAGATTGTGATCTGTAAAATGCTCCCCACCTCTATCATCTTCATGGAGCTCATCATGTCTGTAGGGACACACAAAGCCTAGAAGACAGGAAAATAACTTCAGTGATTCAATCCTCTCAACAATTCCCAGACTAGCTCTCCAGAACATCTGACTCCAGTGCTACTCATCCCTCAAGACAGGATACATCAATCACTTGGTTTTGAATTTTGAGTTCCTCAGTTAGGAATCTAATACAGGTGGGTAACTGTGAGGAGGGTAATTTTAAAATGGGGAGGCTTGTGTTAAGGCTCTGCACAGTCTAAGGCATGAACTGTAGATAAGCCCCTTCTCTGTTTTGAGAACCTGGCCAGTTCTAGGAACGAGAAAGGAGAGAATTTTTGTTTTAATTAAGATAGAGACCTGTTGATGCACTGCACACCCTAACATCTGGCCAATGTCTGGGAGTGGACATGCATACAGGACCACGTGTTTTGACGATTGCTGATGACTGAGTAATGAGCCCTGTCCCCCTTGTTCATGAGGCTGAAAATCTGGCCTCAGAACGCCTCTAGCTGCTACTGTTTCAACCCAGGAGAGACAAGCAGTCAGATGAAGCCTGTGCCGTGATGTTTACTGGGATGCATATTTCTACATTGTTCCTGTGCTGTATACAGAACAACTAGTGGTAAATTCCCAGGTAGAGCCGCCTCTCCTGGGGGCTTCCCACTCTATCCTATGGTTTCAATTACGCTTCCTTGTAGAATAAATCTTGCTTTTTATTAACTAATTTCATGGCTTGTGGAAATTCTTTCTCATGGATTGAATCCAAAATGAAAGTCTGTGCACAGCAAAGTGGCTAAAATCATTTGCCCTTACAATAACTAATAACATCAGTGACTCTCCTCTATGTGGGTTTAGGATCAGGTGGCAGGTATCACTTCCCTTCAATGTGTCATTTGAATGAAGGGAGGCAATCAATGCAGGACCCCTCCTTTGTGAAAACAAATGCTTTCCCTTGCCATCCCAGGGCTCCCAGGATCCTGCTCCTGGAGAGGAGTGCAGCTTTTCATGGGGAAAACTGAGACCCCTCGGGCTCAAGTACAGGATCTGTTCATATACAGTCCGGGAATTGGGATGGTGGAGCTTTAATTTCAGGTAGATGGTTCTCTGGAGGGCTTGACATAGCCAAAGGGTTTAAGTCCCCAACAGGTGGAGGCATGAGTTTAATCAACAGAGATTAATCAATGGTCAACATACCAGGAAAAGCCTTGGTCCTTACAGAAAAACTGACTGAAACAAGTAGAAAGGCATAAAAACAGACACAAGTTCAAACGCAAATGCAAAGAAAGTGAGTGACCGAGCACAAGACAGAGAGAAAAAGATAGAGAGATTGGGATACCGCTTGAACATAGATTTAAGCCAACAGAAAGTCTTTATTAGCCAGAAGCCAACTACATGGAATGTTCGAGATGCCAATACAGTAACTAGCCTTTCTCAGGTGAGTTTAAAGCACACACACAAAACAACACCATATTCTGGATTGACACACTTCAGTTAAAGAGAAGAGGTACCCAGAAATGGCGCTACAGAAGCTGAAGTGTTAGTATATTTGGAGCAAGGATTGTACATTTAGAGATAGTCCCAAAAGTATGTGTTTGGTGGATTGAGTCATGGTTTCGGTTATGGCATGTGTGTTGTTTTCTTACATAAATGCTTGATTTTGTTTCACCTTGAAAGGTAAGTTCACAAGGGATACAGTTTTGCTTATGTGTGGTATTCTGCTAATGTCTGGGTCCTGCTACACAGGTTTGCCTGTGCACCATGAGCCTATGGTGCTCTCAGAGGCCAGAAGAGTTACCAGTGTTGTCAGCTGCTCTGTGAATGCAGTGAATTGGTTTCCAGTCTTCTCGAAAGGCATCCAGCACTTTTTACTTCTGACCATTTCTCCATCCCATTAGATGGATAGTACTTTCTTAAAGATGAGAGAACAGCTATAAAAGACTAGTTCATTCTCCAAAGCTTTGGCAGTATCAAATATTTTAGCAGGAATTCAAGAGGTAATCATTATTTTGTTTCATGCATTTTCTTGACAACTTGTCACTCTGCATGTCCGGCTTTGCTAGAAGATGCTCTATGGGCCAAGTTAGCTTCAGACTCACAGAGTTGAGTCAGCATCTGCCTTCAGACTACTCTCATCAAAGCCATAGGCTACGGCATAATAGCTGGTTCATGAATTTCTATTTAATTACCTTAAGCACACTCTTAATCTTACAAATCAAGTTGAAAGGTTGTCTTTATCAAAATTTAAAAAAAACAGCCAGCCTTTATTATTAGTAGTAGTGGCACTATAGTATATCATTACCATCATTGTTATTATTAATTTGTGATATGATCTTACTAGTTTGTTTTGGCCATCCTGGAATTCCTGATGTAGACCAGGTTGTTCCCCAAGTTCTACACTCTGGGGCTGCTGAGATTGGAGACCTGACCTCCACGCCTTCATACAACGAAGCATGAGTAATATCCACCTCAGAATCACATTGACAAGTGCTCTGTGTCATGTTGGACCCAGTTCTCTGTGGGGCAGCCTGAGGAGACTAAAGAAAGGAAGAAATGAGGGAAGGCCGAAGAAGGGTAAGACTGTGAAAATGTAGCTTAGTAGCAGGGAACTTGACTAGCATGTTGGAAGTCCCTGTATCTATGTCCTATTGTAGAGATGAGGTGAGCAGGCCTGCTTTTCGTCTTGCCCGGCTCCCGCATGGCTAGCTTATACCATGAAATAACAACACACAAATTGTATTCTTTTAAACACTGCCTGGCCCATTATATCTAGCCTCTTACTGGCTAACTCTCATGTCTTGCTTAACCAATTTCTATCAATGTATGTGGCACCACAAGGTGGTGACTTATCGGGAAGATTCAGCATGTCTGACCTGATGGCTGTCTCCATGTGTCTGACCTCACTTCCTTCTTCCCAGCATTCTCTTTTGAATATGCAACCTAACTAATTTTCTGTCCTATCAAAGGGCCATGGCAGTTTCTTTATTCACCAATGAAAGTAATTCCTCCATCAGTCCTACAAGACACACAGATGCAGCTGCACACAGATGACTGCATGCATATGGGTGATACCACAGAGACAAGAATGCTGCCTGGAAATCAATCAGAGGATGTAGAATATATTTTATGGATCAAAAGTCAGGATTGGTGGTGCTTCTCACCTGGGAGGATGAGGTAAAAGGTATGTAGGTTCAAGGTTAGCCAGGTCATGCAGCAAGGTCTTACAACAAAAACTAACCAATAAGGCAAATACATATATGCACACAAGACACAGAGACTGCCAGAAAAATCTTTCTCCACATTGTGCAGATGTAAAGAAAAAAATAAAGTAAAATTCCACGGTGGAGATAAATGT